CCGTTTAGATCAGGTCAAGGTTCCAATTATGAAGCTAAGAGAATTAGGCGGGGGCTGGGCGTGCTCATGACCTTCCCCTCCCCCTCCCCCAGCGCCCTCTGCCCCCAGAAAGACCCCCATCTATCGCACAGCCAGGAGGCTGGGTGGGACCCAGGCCTGGCGCTCTACGGCTATTAGTCAAGAGTTGTGTGTTGCGGCTGCAGACTCCTTCCTGCACGGAGCTTCACCAGGCCTCCGTGTAGCGGACGTCCACCTCCTTCAGGTTGGGGAGCTTGGCCTGCGGAGGAGCAAGAAGGATCCGGTCCCTTCCAGAACCTGGCCCTGCCCTCCCCACCTTGCTCTCCCTGGAGGTCAGAGCAGGTTGACTTCAGAGAGAACTGAGCAGGTGGGGTGTCCCTGGCTCCAGAGCAAACGGCCTCAGAGGGGCTGGATCCCCTGCTGGCCGCCCGACCTTGGACAGCTCCCTCCCAAACCTCCCGGAGCCTCAGCTTCCTCATCTGTGGAGGGATCTGAACCCAGTCCCAGGCTCACGGGACGATGCCAGGGACCAAATACCTAATGCATGAGGCCCAGAGCGCCGTCCCACAGTGCCCTGTGCTCTCCGGAAGGTGTGTCTCGCTTTACCACTGCTCACAGCCTCGTCCCTCTCAGAAACCGGCAGGTGAATGAAGCGGGGTCACCTACGTTGCTGGTCCAGGGGCCTGGAGGATGGTCCCCACCTGCCGTTCCTCAGGCAGCTCCCTCTCTCCATCCCTGCCACCCAGATGCTGCCTCTCGTCCTCCTTTCGGAACAGTTGGCTCCTTCCTGACAAGCCTGCACTGCATGGAGGCTGCCGACCTGCCTCCTGCCTTTACTCCCCCTTCCCAGCTCTCCTGGGCACCGGCCAGGGAGCCCTTCTATCACATGGACACCTCCTCACGGCTCCTCTCTGGTGCTCGACAGCCCTCAATGGCTCCCAATGCAGAGGCCGCACACTGGGGCCTGCAGTCACAGGACAGCATTGTAAACAATACTTAAGCCGACCTTTCAACATTAGCAGACTGCACAGGACAAACTAGGTTTCCAGGTTTTCTTGGGAAATAGGGAGATCTGGAGGCAGTGGGTTGTGCACTTCGTGGCCCCCCGAGTCCCGAAACGTGGAGGCTGGGAGGCACGGCTGGTTCTCTTCCTTTCCCCAGTTTCATCTCTCCAATCTGGCTGCCGCCAGCTCTTACTGTGTGGCTGCACCAGCCTGTGACTGTTCTCCCTGCTTCTACTCTTGCTCATACTCCCTCTCAAAAGTATCTATTTTCCACGTAGCAGCCAGAACAAGCTTTAGGCAGCTCAGGGCCCTGTCAGAGCCCCTGAAGCTGTCTCCTGCACGTGGATAGGATCCAGAGCCCTCCCGTGACCTACGTGGGCTTACTCCGTCTGTCCCAGTCTGTTCTCTTTCTCACTTTCTAGTCACGTTTGCTACAAAGTCAGCTCCTGTGACCCTTCCGCTGTAGGACCTTCGCACGAAGCTTCCTCTTGCCCCCGCAGCCCTGGCGTCTCCCCTCTGGGGTCTCAGCTCAAGGACTGTCCCCTTCATCCCATGCCACACAGGCCCTCCCGGTTTCCACTCCACCCGTTCCCTGCTGGCCTGCTCTTTATCAGTTCTTTCCATCGGCCATTCTTTTCTTTCCTGGCTTATCGGCTGGGGTCACACCCTTTTTCCTCCATGAGGGCAAAGCACCACTATCTAGACCAGTGGTTCTCAACCTTCCTAATGCCGCGACCCTTTAATACAGTTCCTCATGTTGTGGTGACCCCCAACCATAAAATTATTTTCGTTGCTACTTCATAACTGTAATTTTGCTACTGTTATGAATCGTAATGTAAATATCTGATATGCAGGATGTATTTTCATTGTTACAAATTGAACATAATTAAAGCATAGTGATTAATCACAAAAACAATATGTGATTATATATGTGTTTTCCGATGGTCTTAGGCGACCCCTGTGAAAGGGTCGTTCGACCCCCAAAGGGGTCGCGACCCACAGGTTGAGAACCGCTGATCTAGATGCTGGCCAGAGGGAGGAGGATGGAAGGAAGGAATTACCTTCAGATCTTCATAGGTGTCGGCCGAGAGCTTGGTGCTGTTCATGTTTAAACTGCAGAGACTCTTCATGGCTGTACAAGAAGAGACACACAGACAGACAGTCATTAGGTCAGCGAGACCCCACAGGGCCAGCTGCAGGTAAGAGACGGTCAAGCTGGGGGCCTGACTGCAGATGCCAAGGTCCCCGCTTAGGAGATGGGGAGGGAGCACAGCTGGGGGCTGCGTGGGACAGAACGCCCGTTTCAGGCACATGCTGGTCTGAATTAGGCCCATGTTCTCTCCCTGCCCTCTGAGCTGCCATCCCTTCTGGTCCCTCGTCTTGTCCTTCCACTGCCTGGACCAGAGCTCGAGTTATTTCGCCCCAGACAAGCCCCGATGGAATGGGGCTGGCTCTCCCCCAAGGGAACCCCAGAAGCTGACTCAAGCCCTTGTTTCTCCAGAGCAGCCCTCAGACTTCGGTTTGCGTCACTAGGTACACAGGGAGCCTGAGAAAGACCTGAATGTCCTGTCAACTCCCAGAGATGTGAGGCAGGGGCCAGAGCGGGGCCAGGGATCTGCACTGCTACCCAGGCCCCATCAACACTGATATCCAGCAATAATGCCATTTTCAGAGAAGTGGCTCCAAATCTCCTCCTCTCCGCCTTCCATTTACCCTGCCACCTGCCCCACCCCCTCCTAAGCACCCCGACAACAACCTTGTAGAAGTCATGGCCACTGTCCAGCACGCCTCCCTCTTGGCCAACTCCTACGTATGTCTTTCCCACCCAGATCCAATCACTTCCCAGGGAAGCCTTCCTTGGTCCCTCCCTTCTGAGGCACGGGGCCTCTCACCTACACCAATGGGACAGAAATGGGAAATGCAGGTCCCCAGGCTCAGCATCCCCCAGGATCTTCATTCAGTAGATGAGGGCTGGGCTCAGAAACTGCCATTTCGAGGTTCCCTGAGTGAGTATCGTGTGGCTCTTCGTGTGAGGGCAGTGCTCCTCAAACTTCAATGTGCCAGGACTCTCCCAGGCATGTATACAAGTGCAGTTTCTGAGCCAGCAGGGCTGGGGCGGGGCCCAAGAATCTGCCTTTCTAACCAGCTCCCAGGTGATGGCTCAGGTGGACTGGGGAGCACAGTAGCAATGCCCTGGAGCATTTTCCTTGAACATGCCCCCCCCACCCCCTGGGGCTATGACAGCATCAGGAGGGTAAAGGCTGGGCCTTACTCATTTTTACTTTTTCCTCTAAAATTTAAGTTCATGAGGGCAGGGGTATTTTCCCCATTTTGTTCCTAGAACCTAAAATGGTGCCTGGCACATAGTAGGTGCTCAATAAATGCTTGTGCCACATAGCACAGTGTATGGTGTCAAGTGGAATGAATGAATGAATGAATGAATGAATGAATGGAAGGGGGCCCTCACCCACCCTGGCAGCCCCTCAGTACTCACAGCTGAGGGCCAACAGGCCAGCATCGGTGACAGGCGTCTCGCACAGGTTCAGCACCTGGAGCATGGTGAGGTGTTCCGACAGGAGGCGCAGGCCGGCGTCTCCAAACTGTGGGGCACAGAACCTCTCAGCCCTGGAGACCAACTCTGGCCCCCCAAGGCAGCCCAGGATTTAACCCCAGAGCTGGGGCAGCTGTGGAGGGAGGGAATAGGGACAGAGCCCAGCTCTGAGGCCCACAGCCCTCCCAGCCTCGGGGTCTGGGCTGTTCTCACTTTTCTCCACAGACTCAAACGCCTCTCCTGACCTCGCTTCCAATCCAGCTTTTGCTGGTGGGACATGGGCCTGGCAAGGGCCCTCCCTGCAAATCGGTTTGGCCATCTGTCAACGGGGGGCTGTGAGTGGGAGGTGAGGTGGCCTTTTCCTGGGCAGGACAGGGGATGGGCTAAGGAGTGGAATGTTGGGCCCAGAAGGCAAACTGATGGGTACGCCGACTGTCATTCTGTACAATGTGGCGATGGCGGGGCTGACAGGTCAGAGGTGTGGAATGGTGACCACTTGTGCTGATCCACGCTAAGTGTTTAACAGGGCAATTGATACTGAGCACTGGCAGCAAGCGTCGTTGTGCCATGGCCATTATTACAAGGAAAAGGCCCACAGCTACCCACAGGCACAGGAGACCCTGCCTCTCAGCTCTGCCTGGCATGCCCTTGCCCTGGACCTCAGCAACTCCAACAGTGAAATGGGCCACCAGGCTTCATGAGGTCCTACACTTCCTCTGCCTCTGGGAAGTGGCTGCTGAGCCAGGGAGGGAGTATGGTAATCCAGTGACTGGGCCATGGGCTCTGGGCAGAAAGGCCAGCCATGGAGGAGGGTACAGGGTATGGAGGAGGGTGTAGGGGCAGGGAACAGAGAGGAGAACACAAAGGCAGGGTGCAGGGCGCAGGGTGCATGGAGGAGAACACAGGGTGCAGGGTGCATGGAAGAGAACATGCGGTGCAGGGAGCATGGAGGAGAACATGCGGTGCAGGGAGCATGGAGGAGAACACAGGGTGCAGGGAGCATGGAGGAGAATAAAGGGTGCAGGGAGCATGGAGGAGAACATAGGGTGCAGGGAGCATGGAGGAGAACATAGGGTGCAGGGAGCATGGAGGAGAACATAGGGTGCAGGGAGCATGGAGGAGAACATAGGGTGCAGGGAGCATGGAGGAGAACATAGGGTGCAGGGAGCATGGAGGAGAACATAGGGTGCAGGGAGCATGGAGGAGAACATAGGGTGCAGGGAGCATGGAGGAGAACATAGGGTGCAGGGAGCATGGAGGAGAACATAGGGTGCAGGGAGCATGGAGGAGAACATAGGGTGCAGGGAGCATGGAGGAGAACATAGGGTGCAGGGAGCATGGAGGAGAACATAGGGTGCAGGGAGCATGGAGGAGAACATAGGGTGCAGGGAGCATGGAGGAGAACATAGGGTGCAGGGAGCATGGAGGAGAACATAGGGTGCAGGGAGCATGGAGGAGAACATAGGGTGCAGGGAGCATGGAGGAGAACATAGGGTGCAGGGAGCATGGAGGAGAACATAGGGTGCAGGGAGCATGGAGGAGAACATAGGGTGCAGGGAGCATGGAGGAGAACATAGGGTGCAGGGAGCATGGAGGAGAACATAGGGTGCAGGGAGCATGGAGGAGAACATAGGGTGCAGGGAGCATGGAGGAGAACATAGGGTGCAGGGAGCATGGAGGAGAACATAGGGTGCAGGGAGCATGGAGGAGAACATAGGGTGCAGGGAGCATGGAGGAGAACATAGGGTGCAGGGAGCATGGAGGAGAACATAGGGTGCAGGGAGCATGGAGGAGAACATAGGGTGCAGGGAGCATGGAGGAGAACATAGGGTGCAGGGAGCATGGAGGAGAACATAGGGTGCAGGGAGCATGGAGGAGAACATAGGGTGCAGGGAGCATGGAGGAGAACATAGGGTGCAGGGAGCATGGAGGAGAACATAGGGTGCAGGGAGCATGGAGGAGAACATAGGGTGCAGGGAGCATGGAGGAGAACATAGGGTGCAGGGAGCATGGAGGAGAACATAGGGTGCAGGGAGCATGGAGGAGAACATAGGGTGCAGGGAGCATGGAGGAGAACATAGGGTGCAGGGAGCATGGAGGAGAACATAGGGTGCAGGGAGCATGGAGGAGAACATAGGGTGCAGGGAGCATGGAGGAGAACATAGGGTGCAGGGAGCATGGAGGAGAACATAGGGTGCAGGGAGCATGGAGGAGAACATAGGGTGCAGGGAGCATGGAGGAGAACATAGGGTGCAGGGAGCATGGAGGAGAACATAGGGTGCAGGGAGCATGGAGGAGAACATAGGGTGCAGGGAGCATGGAGGAGAACATAGGGTGCAGGGAGCATGGAGGAGAACATAGGGTGCAGGGAGCATGGAGGAGAACATAGGGTGCAGGGAGCATGGAGGAGAACATAGGGTGCAGGGAGCATGGAGGAGAACATAGGGTGCAGGGAGCATGGAGGAGAACATAGGGTGCAGGGAGCATGGAGGAGAACATAGGGTGCAGGGAGCATGGAGGAGAACATAGGGTGCAGGGAGCATGGAGGAGAACATAGGGTGCAGGGAGCATGGAGGAGAACATAGGGTGCAGGGAGCATGGAGGAGAACATAGGGTGCAGGGAGCATGGAGGAGAACATAGGGTGCAGGGAGCATGGAGGAGAACATAGGGTGCAGGGAGCATGGAGGAGAACATAGGGTGCAGGGAGCATGGAGGAGAACATAGGGTGCAGGGAGCATGGAGGAGAACATAGGGTGCAGGGAGCATGGAGGAGAACATAGGGTGCAGGGAGCATGGAGGAGAACATAGGGTGCAGGGAGCATGGAGGAGAACATAGGGTGCAGGGAGCATGGAGGAGAACATAGGGTGCAGGGAGCATGGAGGAGAACATAGGGTGCAGGGAGCATGGAGGAGAACATAGGGTGCAGGGAGCATGGAGGAGAACATAGGGTGCAGGGAGCATGGAGGAGAACATAGGGTGCAGGGAGCATGGAGGAGAACATAGGGTGCAGGGAGCATGGAGGAGAACATAGGGTGCAGGGAGCATGGAGGAGAACATAGGGTGCAGGGAGCATGGAGGAGAACATAGGGTGCAGGGAGCATGGAGGAGAACATAGGGTGCAGGGAGCATGGAGGAGAACATAGGGTGCAGGGAGCATGGAGGAGAACATAGGGTGCAGGGAGCATGGAGGAGAACATAGGGTGCAGGGAGCATGGAGGAGAACATAGGGTGCAGGGAGCATGGAGGAGAACATAGGGTGCAGGGAGCATGGAGGAGAACATAGGGTGCAGGGAGCATGGAGGAGAACATAGGGTGCAGGGAGCATGGAGGAGAACATAGGGTGCAGGGAGCATGGAGGAGAACATAGGGTGCAGGGAGCATGGAGGAGAACATAGGGTGCAGGGAGCATGGAGGAGAACATAGGGTGCAGGGAGCATGGAGGAGAACATAGGGTGCAGGGAGCATGGAGGAGAACATAGGGTGCAGGGAGCATGGAGGAGAACATAGGGTGCAGGGAGCATGGAGGAGAACATAGGGTGCAGGGAGCATGGAGGAGAACATAGGGTGCAGGGAGCATGGAGGAGAACATAGGGTGCAGGGAGCATGGAGGAGAACATAGGGTGCAGGGAGCATGGAGGAGAACATAGGGTGCAGGGAGCATGGAGGAGAACATAGGGTGCAGGGAGCATGGAGGAGAACATAGGGTGCAGGGAGCATGGAGGAGAACATAGGGTGCAGGGAGCATGGAGGAGAACATAGGGTGCAGGGAGCATGGAGGAGAACATAGGGTGCAGGGAGCATGGAGGAGAACATAGGGTGCAGGGAGCATGGAGGAGAACATAGGGTGCAGGGAGCATGGAGGAGAACATAGGGTGCAGGGAGCATGGAGGAGAACATAGGGTGCAGGGAGCATGGAGGAGAACATAGGGTGCAGGGAGCATGGAGGAGAACATAGGGTGCAGGGAGCATGGAGGAGAACATAGGGTGCAGGGAGCATGGAGGAGAACATAGGGTGCAGGGAGCATGGAGGAGAACATAGGGTGCAGGGAGCATGGAGGAGAACATAGGGTGCAGGGAGCATGGAGGAGAACATAGGGTGCAGGGAGCATGGAGGAGAACATAGGGTGCAGGGAGCATGGAGGAGAACATAGGGTGCAGGGAGCATGGAGGAGAACATGGGGTGCAGGGAGCATGGAGGAGAACGCAGGTTGCAGGGAGCATGGAGGAGGGCGCAGGTGTAAGGTGCAGGGAGCATGGAGGAGGGTGCATGGAGGAGAATGCAGGGCGCATGGAGGAGAACATGGGGTGCAGGGAGCATGGAGGAGAACGCAGGTTGCAGGGAGCATGGAGGAGGGCAGGGCGCAGGGTGCATGGAGGAGAACATGGGGTGCAGGGTGCATGGAGGAGAACACAGGGTGCAGGGTGCATGGAGGGGAACCCGGCGCAGGCACGGGTGGGCGTGTGTACCTGAGTGGACCACAGGTTCAGCTGCTTGAGAGAAGGCAGTTTGATGAGGTGCTCAGCGCAGGCACTGGTGACATTGGTGAAGGCCAAGCTGAGGTTCTCCAGGTTTCCGAAGGAGCCAGAGCTCAGCAACCGAGCCAAGTCTGCGTCCTGCACACAGATGGGCAGGTGGGGTCTCAGGGGCGGCCGGGAGCTCCCTGCGGCCCTGAGCCTTCCACCTCCTCCCCCAGCTCCTTCCCCCTGCTCCACAGAGAGCGGTTTCTGGGGGCAGCAAATCCCCAGGAGCAGAGGTGAGGGCATGGCCTGGCGGCTGGGAGTGTCAGGGAGGGAGGGCTGTCTCTGAGGGTGGCAGCTGCCAGACGGAGGAAAGAGCCTTCAGTGCGGTGACTCACACCTGAGTCAGCAACTGGGGTGTTCCAAGGCCAAGTCCTCCCCACGGGCGTGCATGTGTGCACAGACACCCCTCCCCCTCCCAGGCAGCAGCCCATACCCACTTGCCACGTGCTAACACGAAGGCCCCCTCTCAACTCTCAGGACTGTGGAGGTGGACAAATATCGGAGGCCCAGACTGTGAGGTTGTTGAGGCTCACACCCATTCTCCCTTCCATGTTAGCGATAGAATTCCTGAATTTTAGCTGCCACCTGGCTGTCCTGAATTAAAGCTCATTTTTTCAGCTGCTGGGGTCATGTGCTAAACCCGGACCATGATATACAAGTTGATGTGTCAAGTGGAACTTCTATGAAGGGTCACGTTTATCTTGGCCTCTTCCTTCTTCCTGCTGCCGGAATGCAGACAAGATGGCTGGAGCTGGAGCAGCCTTTTTTGGACCATGAGGAAGAAGCCAGGTGCTAAGAATGGTGGGGCATCGGGATATAAGAAACTAAGATCCCTTGCAAAATGGGGATGGTACGAGGACCAACCTAAGTGGGTTGTTGTGAGGAGAAAAGAACTTAACAACACAGTATCTGGTATAAAAATGCTCAATGTATATTAGCTATTACCATTATTATTGTAATAACTGGTAACATGTTAACATTAATAAGTGATCATCTTTTTCATAATGTTTGGTTTCCCCCTAAAAAAGCTGGCTGTTCAAGTCCTATGGTCCCGGTTCACTTCCCCCATCACCTCCAACAGACACCACCTGCCCTCCCAGCAGGAGGACCAGCCCCTCTTCCCTCCACCCGGCCCCGCAGAGAGAACAAAACCAACTCACTGTGGACTTGGAGGGCAGTGTTAGCCTGGTGGGCCCGCCTTTCCTTTGCTGCAACAGAAACCATGCTGATTATGACCCATTCTTTCCCGAGTTTCCTCCCTGCGTCCCGCCTCTCTTTACACTCAGGGCACCTATTTCTTGGTTGTAGAAGCAGCATGATGGTTGTGATCCCAGGGGCAGACCCGAGACAAGGTTTGAGCAAAGGCCGTTTATGCAAGAGGTGCTCCCAGAGTCAGGGAGTAGGGAAGAGCCCATAAAGGCCCCTAATGGAAGGTGCTGCTATCAACCCAGCTGCCCCGGGGACCTCTGGGAAGTGGTGGAGGAGCCACGCCCCAGAGCCACCCCTCCTGAGCAGTGAGAGAAGGCCTTTGCATACCCTCTCCCACCAGTCACTGGTTGAGGGCTGCTCCAGGGGACAGGGGCTGCTCTGCAAGCATGTGGACAGAGAGTTGTTTGGCCAAGAGATGTGCTGGCATTTGAAAGTCAAGGCCCAGGAACTGAAATGGGAGGTGGAGTTGGGGTGGGGGGCAGTGAGCAGACAGTGACTGCCATGCATGGCTCTAGGGATGAGACAGGAGGTCGTCGGGCCAGGACCTGAATACGCTGTGTGATTTTGGGCACTGGCTTGACCTCTCTGATGATCTGGAGAGTGGTGGGTGCTAATCACGATCTCTTTGGATCTAGAGAGGGATTTGATGAGACAGAGGTCCCCACAGGTGCAGAGGTCCCTGGGCTCTGCCCCACTGCACCCCGCGCTCTTGCTGGCCGGCCTAGCCGTGGGCTCACCAGCTCCTTCAGCTCCCGCTGCCGGTCGCACAGCTGCTCGTACATGCGCTTCCCCACACCAGTACTCTCCAGGGTTGAGATGATCTGCAGCTGGGTGTCGTTGTTGTCGATGATGTTGTACTCCAGCATCAAGCACAGGATCTGCCGAGAGATGGGGAGCACGTTACCACCGGCTGCAACTCTGGACGGGCCCTCCCTGAAGGGGCAGAGGCAAGCAGCGAATCCCAACAGCCCCACACGCCCTGAAAAGGGGGGTCTCTCAGTAAGTTCAATACACCCCTTCTACCCTAAAGGCCTTATTTTGAAAATCAGCAGCCCGCTCTCCTGCTGTGACACTGCAGATCGCCTGCCCCAGCTTTCCCCGGTACAATGGGAGTGCTGGTGTACGCCCAGCCAAGCGCACAGCAAGCCAGCTTTTAGTAAATGCACACAAAACGATGCACACCAGGCCCAAGGACAGGACACCCCTTTCTATCCCTGGTTCCTGCCCCCATGCTGAGCACACAGCAGGTGATCAGACACGCTCCCGGAGCTGGAGCCTGGGACCTGTGCCTCGGGCAGCCGCACATGCACTTTCCCTCCCAGGCCCTCTGCCCGGACCCACAGGCTGACAGTCCTGCCTCTGAGATCCCCTTTCCCCTCTCACTTGCCCAGGAGAGCCAGCCCGGCCCTCACGCCACTGCTCCTGCTCTCTCCTCTCCCCCTGGCCCACACAAGGCACTCAGCTCCAACCTCCTCACCAGGACCCGTGGGCACCAGGCTCTTCACGCATGTCTGCCCACATCCCGAGCCTCTTGCCCTGGATTCACTATGTTCTAGGGCCTGGCCTCCCCTCTTCTCCCACCAAGCCTCCTGCTGCGGGCCTTGGTGGGTTTGGTCCCACAGCCTGGAAGGCTCTGCTCCTGCCTCTTGCTAACACCTCTTTGGTCCTCAAGTCTCACCATCCCTCCCACTTGCATGGGATGCTCTTCCTGCTGAGTGAAGTCTAACCCCGTCCTCTTGACTGCAGCCCCGCCTTGGGGACTGACTTCCAGCAGGTGTGAGTGGCAGTGATGCCCCCTGACTTCTGAGGCTGAGCTGGGAAGCAGTATGGCTCTGGCTGGCCTCTCTCTGTGCAGTGGCTCTGGGGACTTTGGGGGAGACAGTGGAGCAGGGAGGTGACATGGGGGCTGGGACCGGTGTGTGCTCCTTGGTGAGTGGGAGCCCTCCCACCCCAGGCTGCCGCGTGGAGAGAGGCCCGGGAGCTCGGCCGGTGGAGTCCTCTTAGGCCAGAAGCCTTGGAGGTGAGCCAGCCCCCCATCTGACTGTGACCCCATGAGAGACGCAGAGTGAGAATTGGTCAGCTGAGTCCAGTCACCCCAAGCTCCGCGAGCAATAGAAAGGCAAGTATTGTTCGAGCCCCATTTGGGTTGGTCTGTTACGCAGCAACAGACAAACGGAGCAGACACTCCTGAGCCTTTGGACAATGCCCATCACAGGTGAAAGGAAGAAACTGGTGACAAAGGCCTCCTGCTCGCTGAGCTCCGAAGGCTGGGACTGCACCTGCCGGGTCCGCCGCCGTGTCCCCAGCTCCTGTAATAGCTGTGCTTAGAGCTCCATCAACAAGGACAGGGACCGGGATGGCTCCTCACCTCCACCATGGTCTGGTTGCCCCTCAGCGCCAGGAGCATGCAGGGTCCCAGCTTGTTTTCCGCCAGGGAGAGCAGGAATTTTTTGGTCTTGTAACAGGAGCCCATGAGGATGTGCACCTGTGAGGAGAGACGGCCCAGGTGAAGGGGCTGTGGCCTGTGGTGCCTGCTTCCGTGTGTGGAAAGTTTGTGAACCAAGAAGACACTGATCAGACCATGTCCTGTCCGGACAGAGAGATCCGACATGATCACCAGCCCCCCAGGGGCATTCAAAAGACCCCTCCCCGACACATGCTCCCACATGGGTGAACCTCGAGGACACACAGGACAATCCTAGGATTCCTCCCCCATGAGGGGCCCAGAGCAGTCAGAGACAGAAAGTGGATGGCGGGGCCAGGACTGGATGGGGCAGCAGCCCAGGGGGAAGATGAAGGTTCTGGAGATGGATGGTGGTGATAACTGCAGAACAGTGTGAATTCCTTAATGCCCCTGAACTGAGCTCTTAAACATGGTCAAACAGTCAACTTCATGTCATATATTCTCTGCTGACGTCCGGCCCTCAGGGTCAGCACCGGTGAGCCTGGCAGAAGCCCCTGGGCAGCCCTCGCTCAGGGTGCCCGGCCTCACGGGACAGGGGATGGTACGGAGCCCCGCCTCCCCTTCCTCAGCCCGCTGTGAGCTCCGAGGGTATTGTGTGCGATCACCTGCCCCAGAAATCCAATAGGCAAATTCTGCTCCATCCTGGGTTAGAGGTGGAGCAGCCAGTAAGGAAACTGTGCTTCTTTCTGGTTCCTGGAGACGGGGCCCAGGGGCAGGGGACCCAAGCAACAGGGCTGGGCCCCAACACCTCGTTTGCTCTCCCCGACTTCACACCAATAGCCAGTGCCCATCATGGTTGCGAACGGTGGCCTAATCAAGGGGACAACCTTCTTCGAGTGCGTATCTGTGGAAATGACGCCTTGCCATCCCAGGGGCTGCCTGCTTCCTTCCTTCCCAAGTATATTTTTTCCGCTCCATCATTAACAGCTCTGCCAGCTCCCTGAAGTCTCTCTCACACAGGGGTGGGGGACCACGGGGTGTTGCCATGGTGAAGCTGTGACGTCAGAGGAGCCGCAGGGAGAGGTGAGAGGAGGTGCAGGCAGGCAGGGCCAGCACTTCCAGGATGCACAGGGCCCTCCAAAGGGATGTGAGGAGTGGAGAGAGTGCGTAAGAAAAATGACCTAAAAATAAGCCCCTTTCTAGAAAGTTCCCGGGCCAGCACCAGGCGGAGTTGTCACTGCAGGAACTCAGCTGGGTTCACTGTGAGTCTCATGAGCGCTCACCTGCGGAACCGCCGCCCAGCAGAGATGGGAATAACCACAGCCGTCCCTCCCGTCCCTTCCGAGCACTGCTGTGCGCTGCGCCCTGCCCCCGCTATCACACGTGACTCCCTCACCGCCCCCCCCCCCCCCGGGAACCCCCGAAAGACTATACTACACTTCCTGTTTCACAGACGAGGAAACTGAAGCCCAGAGAGGCAGGTTAGCAGCCCAAGGTCATCACGCTGGTGCGTAGCAGCGCTGCCACCTGACCTGGCCTGGCTGACACCCTCACTGTCTCAGGCTTGGGAACAGGTGTGATCTTGGAACTGAGCTGGTTTTGTCAACAGGTGGGACAAATGAGGTGGCCAGCCACCTGGAGGAGCATCTGGCCTGGGAGATGGAGTCTGCTCCTCTCAGGAGACGGACACTCTGCCACTGGAAGGAGGGGCCGGCTCTGGACAGCCTGGGCCTGGGTCAAGGGAGGACGAGAAGTCGGAAGGCCTGTGTGACCTCTGCACCTCTGGGCCTATCTCCACATGGATGTGATTAAGGGACAGGGTTGCCGTGAGGATTAAGAGAGAGTGCACGTGAGGTGTCTGACACAGTGCACAAGGCACCAAAGTCACCACCGGTGCAGTTCATGGTCTGGTGATCTCACACCCCACGTCTCCAAGGTGGGACGACCATCCTGACCTGGGCCTCTCACTGCAGATGAGCTGAGCTGATGGACCTGCGGTGCCTCCCAGAATCCCCATGTGTTCAGTCCGTGGACTTAACATGGCAACCACGATGAACTGTGAGAGCTTGGGCAGCTAACCTCGTCTTCAGCCTCCTGGTCTGTAAAATGGGGTACAGTGTCACCTCACACGGCTGAGTGAGACTGAGTGGGGCAGCGTTCAAGCCCCTAGCTGGGTGCCTGCTCGGGCAGGAGAGGAGAAAGTGACATTTGCTCCCACTGCCATCTTCACCAGCCTCACGCAGGCCTGGAAATCCCCGGGGTGGCCCAAGTGGCTCAGGCAGCTCTCCTTCACTGTGAGAGGTGACCCCCACATACCATGCTGGCGAACAGCTCCCCATCGTCGTCGCAGGCCACCCCTCCGGGGCTGTAGAGCTGAAACCAGCCGTCCTTGCCGGCCCGCACGCTCAGCAGGCAGGAGTGCACCTGCGGGAGGGAAGGCACAGGGTCAGTGCTGCGCAGACCGACCCTAACGCTGAACTGCCATCTACACGCACGTGAAGGGCTTGGGCAAGTCCCGCAGTGAAACCGTTACAGCTGTTCAGTCAGTGACCTGGCCTTCAACTAAATCCCAGCTGTGGTGTCCGACACGGGGATCCAGCATCAGCATCAGCCCGCGGGACAGAGCCGGCCCAGCTTGGTTAGTGGCCAAACAGGGGAGAGAGGCTGGAAGCAGCTGCTCAGACGCAGCCCCCTTTCCCCTGTGCCTTTCGGGGACTAAGGGGGCATTTCCCCCCTCTTCTCTGTCTGGGTCTCTGTCATTCTCTCTGCACATCTAACCCCTCAGACTTCCCCCTCTCGCTGCCCCACCCACTCTTGGGGTTTCTGCTCCCCCATCACTGACCCTCACTCCCGGGTATCTGCCCCCCTGCCTCTGAGTGTCTGCCCCGACTTTCCTACTTCACCCGCAGGGGTGCTGTCTTCTCTGGGTCCCTGCCCTGCGCATCCCTCTCTCCCGCTGGGACTCTGCCACCCCCTCCGTAGGTCCTATCTGCACCCCCTTCTGAGTCTCTGTGCCTCTCCCTAGAAGGGTCTCTTTCCAGGGAGAGGGGCAATTTTAGTGGCTGTCAACCTCCTTCCCAGGGTGGTTGGGCCGGGGTGTGCATATGTGCAAATACGTGTGCGTGTTGGGGAGGAACAAGTCCACATCCACCCTGGCCACCGCTGTAATCGCACAGAGAGAAACAGTATTTCCTCCCCTCCTCCCGGCCTCCGAAGAAAGCGGAGAGAAGCGCTCGGCGTTTCCTTCAGGAGGGAAGGACAGTCTGACTCACAGATATTCAATTAAACACAAGTAAACAAAAAACAGAGGCGGTGGGCTTTGATTTTCCCTCTGCATTGGGAGATACCGAATGTTAACTTATCAGCTTTAAAGAAGCAAGGAATCAAGAGCATGAAACCTTATTCAACAAATACAGCAAAGAATTTATAAGAAAACAACCCTGGCTTCATTTAGGAGGGAGAAAGCAGGAGTGAGTGAAGGGAGAGGGAGGAAGAGAAACAGGAGAGAAAATCAAAGGAGGCCACAGGAGAGGGCGGGCGAGGCCCTGCGGGGCGGGGCTGCGCCCACACCAGCCCCTGGGCCTCCCAGCACTTGGCTCTGCCTCTCTGCTTTGGGACGCAGCTGGTACCACTTTTATTCTCCAAACTTCAAAGTTTGAAATAAAGGCTCACTTTCCAGGGGATTCTGAGACTCCTAGAAACAAGGGAGGCCATCACTGGTCCCAGCCAGGTACACGCTTCCTATCTGCCAGTCCTGCTTCTTCCCATCAGGCTCAGAACTGCTTTTGGATCAGGGTTTAGAATCATGGTGTTTTAGAACTAGATCTTTCTAGATCCTCCTGGAACGAGGCTTTACAGCATGGCCTGAGGAGAGTATATTCAGGCTCCATCAAGAATAACTTGCTCTCTCCTCTGCATCCCGGACCCCATGTGCACAGAGGAGGGGCCCAAGCTCCTCGGGCAGGGCCAGCACCCGCTGTCTCCGCAGCTCTGCCTGGCCCAGTGTGCCCACTGCAGAGCTGGTTACTGCACAGGCTCTACAGCCACACTCCCTGGGTTCGAATCCTGCCTCAGCCATGTACCAAGTGCATGACCTTGGGGATGGAACTCAACCTCAGTTTTCTCACCTCCAAAAGGGGGTAATGTTGATGTAAAATGGGGATAAATAGAACCCACTGGTAGGGTGATGAGGATTAAATGAGAACAGGTGTGTCTGAGACAGGGTGAGCATAAGAGCCTTTGCCAACTGCTCCGAATGCCCGTGGGTGACAAGGAGGCCCTGACAGAACCACAGACGGCGCCTGCTGGAGCCCCGATGGCCGGGCTGGGAGGAGAAAGGAGGCCTCACCTCTTGTCGTGGGTCCTCGGCGAACCTCTGAATCACATACTTCAGTTCCCTGGAAGAGACAGGTGGGGACAGAGTCATGCCCAGGGTCCGGGCTTAGGTGGCCGAGGACGGGGTCTGAGGGGAGCCAGCCCACTTGAGCTGGCAGGATGAGGAAACTCCTGGATGGGCCTGGCTGCCTCCCAGAAAGCACATGACGGAGGGAAGGCTGGCTGCTGGGATGATCTCGGGACAGAGGGCACTCGCGCTAGAAGAAGGTAACGAGGGCGCTGCCCGAATACTCACTTGGTGAACTTCTCGTGGGCGAGGGCTCTGCAACAAAAACAAAGGGGAGAGTGCGGTTAGCAGGGAGCTTCTGGACAGGGCAACCATCCAGAGGTCTTCCTCTGGGGACGCTAGGCTTTATGGCTGACTCGAAGAATGGACAGGAAGCTGGAATGAAAGCACCGACATTTTGTCCCTATTTGAAGCTGCAAAACAAAGCCTCCTTTGATGAGTGAGCAGACTGAGCCCCACGCCCCTCAGCCGCCCCAGACCCACCCTGTAAGCAGGAGGGCGCTCGCGGATGCATGTGGCTTGTGTGTCTGCACGTGGACACCAGGACCCAGGGGTGTTCGTTAAGTGTTCACACTAATTAAGGTGCGCACCAGGGTGGCATTCAGGGATGTTCTCCAAGCGAATTGCATCATGGGCCCACTGTCAAGTGTGTCCCTTGGGCTGTGGGGACGGTGGCTGCAGCCAATGACGCCACTGTTCTTGGAGACCAGCGGCTCTCAGGAGTCAGATTTCTCTGGTCTCGGGTCCTGGGGGCCCCCGGGGACCAGCCCAGCCAGCAAATGGGGCAATTACTGAGTGTAATGTCCCCCTCAGAGAGCCACATTTCATAAACATGGGCTCGCTAATCGGCTCCAGAGAGCCTGCTGCCTCCGGAGGCCTGGCTCCTCCACGCCGATTGAAAGAGAGACCTGGAGGCATTTCAGAGCCTGGTTATTCAACACAGACTTCTCTCAGGCCATCACCCTCGGCAGTTTTCTCCCTATTTTGCTGTGATTAATTCAATACAAGGAGTGGGTAAGGGCGGCTAGAGAGGCAGAGGGTTCATTCTGGCCAACTCACTGTGGAGCATGAGCTAACGCTGATAATGGACATAAGAGAGCTTTCGGCATGTCGCTGTATGACATGTAAAGTGACTGCACATGCTTTTTTATGTTTTTACCATGGCATCGGAGAGAGGAGGCAGGTATTACTGTTCCCATTTGATGCATAATCAAGATCATTAACTTTACTGCATGCAGGCACGGTGGGGACAGCTGTTTGCACTCTCAACTCAGTGAACCCTAACAATGCAATGAGGTGATCTCCCCATTTTCCAGGGGGGCCTCCCCGAGGGTCTCGAAGCTGAGAACCACATCTCCATCTCCCGCTGTCGTCCACAATGTTCCCAGGGGGCCGTGTGCATCCGAGACAGAACTGGCCCCCTTAGGGACTCAGTGGGCGGCTCAGGGTTTCCTCACAGGTGGGCGGTGGGGTGGGACTTACTCTTTGGGGAATGGAATGGGTTGAAGCAAGCTGGCCAGAGACGGTCTCCAGTCATCGTAGTCGGACCTAGAATGAGAAGGAGCGAGGTCAGGCTGGGTCTGGAGGGTGAAGTATGCAGCGTGCTGTCACGGATGGTGGCGTGCTGTCACGATGGCCACAGGCAAGGCGAGAGTCTGGCAGAGGGTCAGGTGGCACCCACTCTGCTCTGACATCTCAGTGAGCAGGGAGCTGGCACAGTGTGGCTGCGAAGCCTGGGGGACAGAACTGGTCCAGGGACCTCCTTGTGGCAGCCGAAGGGGCTGGCCATCCACTCCCCAGAATCTCCTCCCTCCTGGCCTTGGAACTCAGGCCACGGGGTCACTGTTCCATCTTTTGAACTATCAGGGGTGTTATGGGCTGAAATGTACCCCGCCCCCCCCACATTCATATGTTGAAGTCCTAATACCCCAGCTCCCCAGAATCCAACTTTATTTGGAGACAGGGCCCTTAAAGAGGTGACTAAGGTAAAATGAGGTCACAGGAGAGGCCCTGATCCAACATGACCGGTGCCCTTATCAGAGGAGGTGAGGTCACAGACACTCGGACGACCATCGACAGGCCAAGGAAAGAGGTCTCAGAGGAAACCAGCCCTGCCCACACCTGGAGTTCATAGCTCCAGCCTCCAGAACTGTGAGAAAATAAATGCCCGTTGTTTAAGCTGCCAGTCTGTGTAATGTTGTTATGGAAGCTTGGGCAGACTAATACAGACTAATACAAGGGGGATTAGGTTGGGAATACAAAGTCATTCTCATCTTTGATTAACCAGAACTGACTGATTCACAAAAAATAAAAAAATTATAGGCTATTTATTTGTTGTTTGGATCAACCCTTCTGGATTGGATACTGCTAGTCTGTGTCCAGATAACAGCTTTAAAAAAACAACAACAGTTACTGCTAATAGCAATAATAACACCAATGGTGATAGTAATACTGAAAAAATAACAGCTACGACTTTGTCAACACATTGGACATGCACTCTGCATATGCCAAAAGCTTTACCTCTGTTCATTTACTCTTCACAATGAAGATTATGATTATATGTAATTTTATATATATTTATACAATTAATACATTGCTGTTATAGAGTATGATTATATGAGTAGCCTCACTTAACAGATGGGGAAACCGAGGCAAACACAGCAGTGGCTGGTGGAAAATCGAGTCTAGGCTGACGCCAGACCCCTTGCTGCCCTGACAGACCTCAGCTGAGGTCTCAGGTGAGACCAATGCAGGAGGTCCCATCCCATTTGTGCGACCGCAGGAGCAGCATCCGCCTGAAGGACAGCCACAGCTGAGGTCTGCTGAGCACCCACTGCGTCGGGACTTGCTAGCTCATGGAACGGGCCCCACCAGAGCCCCTGTCACAGGTGAGAAGTGGGTAAGAACTGCCCAGGTGACTGCAGAGCTGGGCCTCTAAAAGGGCCCGGAAGGGCAGCAACGGCTTCCGGAGGCAGCTGTGTAGTCAGCAGGGCTGCTCCCCTCCCACCAGCACAGCTTCTTAAAGAAGCGGCACCTTCTACCAACTCCCCAGAGAAGCCACGAGGGTCAGGAAACTTGGGGAACGGCAGCGCCTCAGCCTGAGGACAGACAGGCCTCCCCAGGCCCTGGAGCATTTGCACACAGCCAGGTTAGTGCACACACCTGATTCTTGGTCCTACGGCCCCATAACTGCTTCACGTTCAATTCAGTGTTTCTCAGCCTTCTTTTCATCTGGTACCCTCTGTCCCCTGTCCCAGGCCCCCCGCCCCAAAAAAAAACATAATTTTATTGATGTGACAGAGAGAAACATCTATGTGAGAGAGATACATCGATTGGTTGCCTCCTGTACTTGACCAGACAGGGAACCGAATCGGCAATCCTTTGGTGTACGGGACAATGCTCCAATCAACTGAGCCACCCGGCCAGGGCCCAAGGAGCTTTCTTGACGAATTCTCCTCATTGTTCTCCCAACATACTGTATATGTTTATGTGCTATATGTCCACCTGTGCTTTAGACCAAAAAAGAGTAAAAACTAATATTTGTTCCATCACCAATGGATAGTTTAGCTAACTCCTGAGAGCTTTCCCACCCCACCTTCTCTAAACACATGGTGATCAAGGGTCAGCCTTCGGAACCCAGCCCACACCCTGGAGGGCTCGGAGGAAAGACTCAAACGCCAGACACTAGAAGAGAATTCCTCCAAAAGCCTGGTTGCCTGAGCTGAGTCCTACAGTGCTGCTGGCCGAGGTTTACTAAGCACCTATCGGGCTGTGTGCTGGGCATGGACTTGCTTGCTTAATCCTCAGAACAGGCACTAAAGGACGAGGGAGAATCACACCTGCTTTACAGGTGAGAGAGCGAGACCCTGAGCACCTTGGTGACCCATCTGCGTTCAGGCAGATAGGAAGCACGGAGCAAGGGTTCCGTGGATCCCAGTGCCCAAGGCGGGGCACACGCTCTGTGCCACCCATGGGTGGCTGGGCACAGGTGCTCAGAGGCCTGTCAGATGCACATCAGGACACAGAGACCCCTTCTGACCGATACCTGTATGCTTCTTTCCGGGGGAAGGGTCACATTTTTGCAGCTAGCTTGTCTTCCCTCTGAATCCCTCCCCTCCCAACACCCACCTGTCCCTGGCTGACTCTTGGTTTCCAGAAAACCTAAAAGTAATAGCAAACATTGTGGATACACACATGGATCAGGCCAGTTGTTCCTCCCAGAGACCTGGCCCCATTCCACAGACAAGAAAACTGAGTCCCAGTGAAGACACATGCTGGCCCAAGCTCAAGAGCCTAGTTCCTGTGTCTGTGTTCCTCCCCACTGAGCTACATGGCACCGCATGTCCCCTGCATCCACCTGTGAAGAAAGGCCATGTCCCTTTATCAAAAAAGGCACTTACTGGTTTTTCTTTTGCTTTAAAATAATAAAATATGTTCTTTGTAAAAATGCCATCAATGCAGAAAACTCTAAGGCAACTTTAAATCTCCCGTGATCAGTGTGGGTGTTGTGCCCAGTGTGTGGGCACACGCTGGGCTCCATCTAGGGCGATGACACAGCCCGGCCCAGGGCTCACTCCTGAATGGAAAGGGATGTTGACAAGCCTGTCCCCTGTTCCCAGGTGCTAAGCTCAGTGGGAGGCGGAGGCCAGGGGTCTGGAAGGAAGCCCTCTCCCTCCTTCGTCTCTCCAGTCTGGAGCTTGGCCTCCCCACGGCTCACACGGGATCAGGAAAGAGAACATGAGGGGAAGAAAGGAGGAGGCAGACACTTCCTTCCTCGCCCCTGCCCAGCCCAGCTCCAAGTCTGCTCCAAACCCCGAGTCCGACCAGCTTGAGCATGTGCAATGCGTGTGCTGGGCAGAGGCTGGGAGGCTAGGTGCCCGGGGGCTGGCCAGGCCCAAGGAATGGAGAGCAGAGCACCTGCCATGAGCATCTGGAGAGCAGCGCCAGCCTCAGGGTTGGCGAGTCGGGCAGGCCCGGGATGGGAGGGAGAGCTGCAAGCCTGACTATGAGCAGCCTGACCACCACCCCTAGGAAGTAGACAAGACAGCGAGGCCTTCCCTGCCTCAGGGAGGAAAGGGAGAGGTGCCTTGAGCATCCTGAGGACCTCCGACAGCTTCAGGCTCCAGGCACCCAACACTCACTCCTCACGTTAATGGGGCCAGGCTAGCTCTAGATCCCCACTTACAGGCAAGACAGGATGTCCAAGCCCCCAGTCAACCCCCCCTTCCCTGCACCGAACTCCTGGCGTCTCTTCTCAGCGGAGCTGCGGCACTGGCTAGGGCGGTTCACGGAGCAGACTATGCTGGGTGATGTACCACGTTTCCCATGTCCCCTCCTGGCACCTGCCTTCTACTTCTAGTTACACCTCCCCGTCATTAGGACACCCCCTCCCCTTCATCCTCATTTTCCCCAACAGCCCCCGATGGCTGGGGCATCTTCCAGCTGACCAACAGACCGCCAGGCCTCTTTTAAAACCCAGGTTTTTGCAAAATAACAATCCTGAGTTGAGCTGATCAAAAAGCGCAGACCTGCGCCCCTCTCCTCACAATGGCTGCTCCCTGCTCTTCCTGTCTGTGGCCTCCGTGTGGCCAGCGGCTTCCCACTCCTTCCCATCGGTGGGCCGTGTCACTGCCTTCAGCAGTTGCTGCTACTAGATTCAGAGGGACTGGGAGCAGCTGGGACCCCAGCATCCAGCAGAGCCTGGCCAGACGAGGTGCGCAGTTAATGCTGGATAAAGGAGTGTATACACAGATGGATCAGGAAATACGCGAATCGCATGCAGGTGTCCGGCCAGCTAAGAGCTGGACTCCAAACCGCCACAGACCCAGCTGCTCTGTCCAGCTCCCGAGTCCATGTTCTCCGTCAGACCACCCAGCCTGGGCCTCACAAGGGGGTGTTTGCAGGGGAACCTTGACCTGCATCGGGAATAGTCCTCCTTTTCAAGGGTCTCCAGGGAGCTTTTTGAGGCTTACGTTCCTTTCAGAGGTGTGAAATTCTAACCATGTGTGGGCTTTCCTACACATAACCAAGGCCTGGGCCTTTTAGGGCCTGGGCTGTGTATGTGTGTGTGTGTGGGGGGGGGGGGGGGGGG